GTCAAACAATTGACTTTTGCCTGGTGTGTCTGGTTCAAAAATCCAATTATGACCTGTCAATTTTTTAGCTTGATATAGTTCTGAAAATGCTAGTTTCCTAGAAGCTGGAAAATGCAATCGGACGTATGGGGTAATGTAACTGCTAAAGGAATCTCTCATATTACAGGAGGTAATTTTGCTCAGAGTGCTATTACTATTAATGGATGGCTGAGAGACTTTTCATGGGCACAAGCCTCTCAAGTAATTCAATCTTATGGATCCCCATTATCTGCATATGGATTAATCTTTTTGGGAGTTAGAATTCATATAGCTATCTAATTCTAACATTCTATTTCATAGATTTATTAGTATTAGATGAATGAATCTATTGATTGATTTATTCTCTCATATCTTGTGTCGGCTTTCCACTTTCATGTGGAAGTGTGCGATTTGTGTGTTCTGAGTTGTGCTGTTCGCATTGTGGGCTTGGAGTTCTGTGTATACATATTTACCATACTTGCGGCGCATCGCGATGCGCTGTACTGCACACGTGCGCCGCACCGCGCTTCCSGCACGACGCGCGCGCACTGCATGCGGCGCACCTCCAAAAATGGGGGTAAAAAAAAAAAAAAAAAAGTTGTGAGGGGCGGTAGTAGACCCAGCCCCCTGCTCGCGTAAAATGAGAAACGACCATTCAAATTTTTTTTGGAGGCCGCGCGTTGGCCTGAAAGATTTTAGTAACCTGTAGTCCGGGTTACACTCTGTGTGACACTGTATGGTAGGGTTATTGCCGTCTGTATGGTAGGGTTCTTGCAGGCCAGATTCAGTCATGATGAGGGTCGCGATCTCTCAAAACGATCTCTTCTTATTACTTCTGTAGTAGAAAACGACGGAACTGACAGCCGTTTTTCCTGGAATTTTTTTTTAGAATTTCTTTGCACGAGTGAAGCCCGGCGCGTCCAACCTGTCAGAACCTCAACGGTAATGTTCACCAACGGGCTCGCTGCACAACTCTCGACATGCACAACAAGACATAGGGCCTCGCTGCACTACTCTCAACATGTACAAAAGACAAAAATATTGGCGGTGTATCTTTCCATATTCTAACGCAAGATTCACTCTCGTTTTGCAGATTTCCAGAGTAGTGGAGCGAGGCCCATATATGGCAATGTATCTTTCCATGTTCAAGCGGAGGATTCAGTCTCATTTGTTCAGAGATTCTCCAAAAAAAAAAAAAAAAGTTTCCAGAGATACGCTACGTGCTTACTGGATTCATCGGCCCTTCGTTCTCCACCACCCAACGTATGAATGAATCTTCCGCCAGAACATGGAAAGATACACTGCCGTATTTTTTGTCCTTTGTGCATGTCGCCCCGCTTCCGGATTCATGTTGCCCGTTGATAAGGGTGGTTTCTTCGGTCCGATAGTGTCAGCACACGGTTTCTTCTCTCTCTCACACGGTTTCCTCTCTCTCTCTCTCTCTCTCTCTCTCTCTCTCTCTCTCTCTCTCTCTCTCACACACAC